GTAACAAATGATTTATAGAAACTAATTATGCTCTATAAAAAAAATCTAACCATTTCAATCTCTTTTATTTTAGAAATTCATCTAATTAACCATTTCAATCTCTTTTATTTTAGAAATTCATCTAATTTTAATTTTAATTCTAAAATAAAAATATTTCCATTTAACTTAAAATTAGTTACCCTCAAACTTCATCAAACTCCCTATTACTAAATTATATTGAAATTAGTAAAAGTTAAATATATGTATGAAACTTTTTTGAAAATTTAAAGGTACTTTTTTTTAAACCAAATATTAACAATTTCTATCCCTTGTTAGAGAAACACAACTCTCCACAATGGTATGATATTGTCCACTTTGAGCATAAGCTCTCATGGCTTTGCTTTGGGTTTCCCCAAAAGGGCTCATACTAATGAAGTTAGTATTCCTCACTTATAAACCCATGATCACACCCTAAATTAGTCGATTTGGGACTTCCATCATCCAACACCTCCCCTCGAACAAAGTGCGCCTCCCCTTAATCGAGGCTCGACTCCTTTGGAGTCTTAGTCATTTTTTACTGCCTTCGAGGAGGGGCTTAGCTCCTTTTCTTTAAGAGTTCTTTGTTCGATATTTGAGGATTTACCAATCTATTGGCACGACTAAGTTTAGGGCATGGCTCTGATACCAACTGTCACGGTCCTGCATTCTTGACCGTGCGGCGTCGTGATCTATACACGCTCACGACCAGCCTTAAGGGAAATTAAGCCCCATTATATTTTCATTATCATCATCACTCTTTTTTTCTTCACTTTCGACATTCACATCCTTCTCCTTCTTTGATCGTGCATCCTTTGTCTTCTTCGACTCCTTAACAACAAGAACGGGAACAGAGGTAGGGGCGAGGACGCCTTCCTTCTCCATGGTCTTAGGCTTGCTAGTGCAACCACCCATGTTTATAAGGGAATTAAAAAGATGTTAAAAAAAGAGAAAGGAAGATGTTGGAGAGAAAGAAGGCCAAATTAGGACTTCTTTCTCTTCTTATTATTGTGAAAAAACAAGGGTTGGGATGGACTCATTTCCATCATCCAACATCCCTAACTAATTATAAGACTATTTTTTAATTTTTTTTAAAAAAATTTAACTGATTTTTAACTCTAAAAAAAGTTTAATTGTATTATTGAAACTTTAGAGTATTTTTTTTAATTTAAATTTTTTTGTTTTTTTTACTATTTTTTTAAAAGACAAATTTAGTATTCACTCTTTTGAAAATGTGCCTTAATCCTATAAATTTTTTTTGAATGGATCTTCATAATCACCAAACATATAAAAAAAATAAAAAGAAAGAACAAAAAAATGAATCTTTTGGGGTTCTCTCTGCTTCATTTTTCCATTTTTCTCTCATCCATTTCTTGCCATTGTTGACTCATTGACGGACTGAAGCATTCTCATAGATCTCTATCTGCCTTCCTCTTCACTTCTCCGCCCCCTCTAGTGGCGTTCCTCTTCACCTCTCCGCCACCACCTACGCGAAGCTTCTTTAAATCTCCACCACCGGCAGCATTTCTCTTTCCCTCTCCGCCACCTCCTACGCAAAGCTTCTTTAAATGTCCACCTCCGGCGTCGTTTCTCTTCCCCTCTCCGCCACCCCCGGTGGCATTTCTCTTCCCCTCTCCGCCACCACCTGCGCGAAGCTTCTTTAAATCTCCACCCCCGGCAGCGTTTCTCTTCCCCTCTCCGCCACCTCCACCGCAGCCAATGAATTGATGTGAAGACTGTACAGAAGATCAACCACGCCAGAGAAGATAAGTTGATTGGGGTGAGAGATGTTCTGAACAAGAGATAACACTTTTAATTCAAGCCCTTTAATAATGTAACAATAAAATTTTATGATCACTACTTTTGTTTTAAAAATAGGTTTATCATTATATAAATATAACTTTATTTCACGTTTAAAAAAATATTCATAAATTTTCAAAAATAGTATTAATATTTATAATTTATTGAACATATAAGAGAACTTCTATATTAATATTTGAATGAAAAAATATTAGAGTTTTAAAATTTAAACAAATTTGATTTGATTTGATTTTTTTTTTTTTTTTTTTT